ACCAAGGTTGGTACAGTCATCAGGATTCAAGGCCAGAAAAGGTCAGCTTTCAGAGAGGTTTTAGGGACTTTGCTGGCACGAAACCTGGGCACAAGAGCTCAATGCCAGCAACTTCAACACCAGGAAGATGCCACAGCAGAAAAGGCTGCTACCCAGAGAGATTGTTGGAATTGTGGAGAGCAAGGACATATGAGGAGCCAGTGTATCTTCAGTTGTGGGCTGTCCAAGGTGTCTACAAACTGCTCCCTCAGCAACAGTTTGAGGACATCGGGTGGTACAGTTAAGCCTTGTGTGCCATACTTTTCAAATCCTGTGCCAGCTCTTGCAGGCTCTCCTCTTTAGCACGGACTCTCGTTCTAAACCTAGCTCTGTAGACTTCTAACTGATTTTGAGTTCCATACGTGATTTCTAGTGCAGCTGCCAGTGCTCTATAGTTGTGCCTGTCGTCTGCTGACAAGTGTCCAAGTATTTACAGTGGTTGTCTCTTCAAGCTCGTTGCTAGGTACACTGCATTCTGCTCCTCTGTCCATCCATTCATTTCTGCCAGTAGCTCAAATTGTGCTCTATATGCTTCCCATAGGGCCTTCCCATCGAATTACTCTGGCTTCCTTCGTACTAGATCACCCTGACACTCATGTCTGGAATATGACTTGTGGCAGGACTGAAGATATCTGCATTAGGTTTAGCTGTGGAGTCTGGAAGGGGCTGATTAGGTCCATGGTTAATGTATTTTTCCTGTGTAAAAGATAGTAAATTGTTCTTTAAGGTATTTAATTCACTTTGAAATTTACTAAGCTTTTCCATTTGTGCTTCTTGTTTCCTTTCTTGTTCCAGTTGCCACTGCTGTAGTCTCTCTTCTTGTTTATTTTCTCGTTCTGCTCGTTTCTTTTCATTTTCCTCTGTTGTAATCTCTCTTCTTGTTTCTTTTCTCGTTCTTCTTGTTTCTTTTCTTTTTCCTCCAACAAATGCTGTAATCTCTCTTGTTTATTTTGCTGTTTGAGCTGCCACTGTTGCAGGTTTTCTTGCCACTGCTGTAATCTCTCTTCTTGTTTCTTTTCTCGTTCTTCTTGTTTCTTTTCTTTTACCTTCAACAGCTGTTGTAATCTCTCTTCTTGTTTCTTTTCTCGTTCTTCATGTTTTTTTTCTTGTTTATTTTCTCGTTCTTCTTGTTTCTTTTGCTGTTCTTGTATTGCTGCCATCAAATCTGCCAAGCTGTAGTTTGATTTGCCACTTCTCGTTTCCATCTTCTTTTTTTTTTTCTGTCCCACTCTCTGACACCAATTTGTTATGTCTCTGGTCATTTGTTAATTTCCGGTATAAATTCTTTCCGAGGAACTTCAGTGATACAAGTCCTTCCTTAATTAAAAGTAGTTTATTATTTCTCAATACAACTTTGCAATACACTTAATTTCCACAGTCACTTTAACTTAAACACATGCTATAATTCACAACGATTCACGTACTTTACTTATGGTCACTACTGCTCGCTTGACTCAATTATCTGTCTCTATATCTATCTGCAATTATATCTCCGCTTTTTTTGCCGGGCTTATATACTAAAATAGAGGGCGCCTAGAAAAGACTACAGTTGCCAGGAACAGTCATGATCCTTCTAGAAACTCATGACGTGTTACCAGCATCAGGTGACTTGCGCTGTTGTAACAACAGATTTAACAAAACTAATATAATTTCTAACCAAGGTAAAAATAGATTTAACAAAACAAAAGCAGTATGTCTGCGGACTTACAACGCTAGGAACCGGGTTTCAATACCCGTGGTGGGCAGAGCACAGATAGCCCATTGTGTAGCTTTGTGCATAAATTCAAACAAACAAACAAAACTAATATAATTTCTAACCAAGGTAAAAATAGATTTAACAAAACTAATATACTTTCTAAGCAAAGTAAAAAGAGATTTAAAAATTCATTTCTGTTTGGAACAATGATTTTAGTAAACACACAATTGTGACTTTACTCACCATAAAATTGACAAATAACCATCATATTTACATGGTACAGTATCTCCTTCATCTATTGGTTATAAACATTTACTTAAGACATGTAAGTGTGATTAAATAAATAGCTTCAAAAGAATGAAGAGATGGAAGAGGTTTCTCTGGTAGATTTTCTGAATATATGTAAACTGATATTTCAGCGACTTAAGAAGGTGTAGGTTTATATTCTAGCTTATAGTGCAGACATCTTATGTGACATACAAGACAAAATTTTGAGAACTTTTTTTTAATGTTTTCTTTTTAATTAAAATTTAGGTCATACAATATTAAAATATGACTCGTTAACTATGTTTTGATGCCAGGTTTCTTCATACACATTGATAATGAAGTAGTTTAGTTAAATTTTGACTGTAATGCTGTAAAAAGTTGTGACATGCACATTTTGACCCCACCTGTGCACACAGGGTTAACCAAGGAGAAATAAGATTAACCTTCTAATATCAAGAGTGTTACCTGATTTCACATTGTTAAGCAATGCATGATAATCACAATAAATCCTTTCTAGGAGGCTCTTTAAGTATATTGTGCTTTGGCTGACCTGTAAGAGAACCAGTCTACTCCAGTGTGGAACTCAAACTGGGACACTATATGACAATAATTCCTTTCTAGAAGGCTCTTTAAGTGTATTGTGCTTTAGCTGACTTGTAAGAGAACCAGTCTACTCCAGTATGGAACTCAAACTGGGTCACTATATGATAACCATAAGTGATTGTATCAGAAAAAATTTTTTGTTAGACCAAGCTAGTCTGTTAGCATCCACAACATTTGAAGTTAGCCTTAACTCATGTCCTCCAGCTGCTAGAGATTCTGTATTAGCCTGATTCAAGTTCAGTTTCTCCTTAAGTATACTAACTATAAATTTAAACATTCAGAACATAATTAATAATTTGTAAGAAAATAAATGATTAAGTAAAAGTGATAAAGTTTATTAAAGAATTGTTTATGGACAAATGTAATAAAACTCATTTAAAGATTTTTTCAAGAATTAATAAACAATAATGCAAGTCCTATTTTTATA